TTCCTGACAGCCACAACGGGTTGAGCGTTGGCGCGATTTACGGCACCTCTGACTGGCTATCCTATGCGCGACCGAGACTGCTATCAAATGATCTCACGTGTGGCGAGACGCGCGAGGAGGAAGCGACGCTGCAAGGCCATTTCAGACACCTCCCCCCGCCCAAACCGGAGTTCGAGTGATAAAAGAATACAAACAAACGAGGAATAGTTAATTGTAGTGACTGAAATATGTACCGGTGGCAGTGTTGTGAACAGCATCGGCATCTGTGGCTAGTAATGACTCAACCGGTTTGGACAGTTAACTGGAGACATCCGGTCGTTGAGTAGTACATAAGCGGCAAATCGGCACACCGTGTCAGTATTGGTCGAGGAGAGTGAGGAACGATACCATTGGCAGTAGAAGTAAGATCAGATGTTAGGAAGGAGGTCCGGGTGCTGGTACTCATAGAAGGACTGCTTTGCCAGGCTGATGAAGGAAAAATGGTCTGGGCTCGATGGGTTGAAAGTGGTTGGTAAGCTGCATATCGCTTCAGGACAGGAATTCGGTGACTGAATTCACCATATCGTGGTCATGTAAGATGACACAGGAGTAAAATCAGTTGAAGTCGAGGGAGGTTTTGATGATGATTGAGCTGAGCCACATCTAGAAGATGGACGTTAGCTTTATCGCAGAGATAAAACCCTTTACACTGCACCCTTCAAGCTCGTTTCGTTGTAGGAGGTAAAGAAGAGATGGGAAACCAGGCAGGACGAAGAGCACGGCAGTGGCCGCATAAGGTCCTGCATGAGTCAGCCACAGAGGGAAAGGATGAGTCAAGCAAGCTTCCTAACAACCGCAAGGGTTTGAGCTTTTGCGTGGTTTGCAGCACCTGTAACAGGCTGTCCTAGTGGCGACCGATACTGCCATCATAGGATTTTACGTTTAATGCGGCGCAAAAGAACCCCTTTAGGTACGTACCTTACAAACAATATTCACATAAAGTAATCTTTCAACTTTTAACTGTTGTTCCTAAACATCGGATATATCGATTTTTATTCGATTGACCGATTATGGTGTAAACCATATACGCGTATGTTTTCAGCACGGGTTCATAGTTAAGTGACAACTGGAGGGGCAGTAAAACGTATTCAGAGTCAGCATTTTAAAAAACAATGGCTTATTAGCTACAAAGACTCTGTGGGTGTGCGTTTTTCTGTATGGTCAAGAAGTACTGCAAAATGCGAAAGATTGATAATTATTCGCATACTGGCATGAAAGCGTGTACGAAAACTTAGAAAAATAAGTGAACAACCTTAGATGCATTTGGTACTGCAGAAAAATATAAAAATACTAATTGAATGTTAATGAAAATACAATTTTCGTCAAGTTCCGTAAGGCTCAAAAATAAATCTTATAATAAGTTGAATGGATAAAAATGCCAATTTGTATAATAAAAAAATTTCTTTAGGCATAATATTTTTGTATATTACCGTTATTGGATTACAATATGAGCCATATGTAGACATTCTTGCAAAAAAACAAAAGATATGGTCGAGCAAAATCTACGTCCCCAACATAAGTGTGATATTATTGTTCCTAGGACTAATAGAACACTTTTTTATAATAAGCAACCTATCTAAAAGCATTTTAACCGGGTATGCAGATGACCAACATCTGTGCACGTTACCTTTAACCCAGTTTGTGCCAATGTATAAATTAACAATTTTTTAATAAATGATGCAAGTTTGACTGTGAATGAAAAACTCACTTTTCGCTTTAAATTGGAGTTGTTTTTAGAATAGACGACTACCTTTTTGCTTACAAATGCAAAATAGAGTGGCTGAGTATTAATTTTCTGTTCGTTTCGGGAATTATGTTGTAGAAAAAAAGTTTATTCATCGATAGTTTATATTACATAATATTTGCGTTTGCCTTCATCTTCGCAATAGTATTTATGAAGTTTTTGTTTCCGTTTCAAGTCGTCGATGCGGTAGAAAACGCAAAAAAGTGTTTTGTTGCATTTTTCAACAAAAAGTTTCAATTTATAAAAATTAAGTCGTCCTTTTTTTCCGAAAAAACAATACGATCGCATAAAAATTGCCTCTCCTACTTTTGATCAATTTCAGACTAAAGTTTCCGATTTTGGAAGGGGTATATTTCAGAACTTTTCTCGCTTGCATTGGTGTTCTCCCACAGTAAAGCACTCACAAATAAAATGTTTGGTTCTGTAGTACTCATTATCATAGGACGCGTTTCTGCCATTGGTTTCTGTTCATGTTTCTGATGATGAATTCGCGACGAATATCGAAACGTCAGGCAAATAAAACTGTTGTCCTGGCGCTCGTATCGCCTTCATTTCAATTTTTTCGATATCAGGCAACTTTCGAATTCGTAAAATGAATGCCTATTATCCTCAATATACTGAGCAAAGTAAAATTTTCCTTACTCACTGCATTTCTCAGGATCAAATGCACACATAAGATCAAAATAATCTGATCAAACGTTTGGTTATCAAAAAAGCCAAGTTTTGTCATGACATTTGCGTGACTACTAGGCCGTACTGTATTTTCAGGATGTACGGTGCCTTTATGGGGGCTGCCACGGCCTTCCGGTGGGAACATATTAAAACCATTAATGGCGCCTCAAATCTGTTCTACGGATGGGGTGGGGAGAATGACGACCTTCGGATTCGCCTGAAAGCAAACAAAATCCCCGTGGACCAGCCGCCGGCTAGAGAGGGCATGTTCTATGAATTCGAACGAGAACATCCTGCGAGTGTGGAGAACAGAAGGGAAGATATTGGTCTGATGGACCCACAGAATGCTACGCACCGATGGAAAACTGATGGGATCAACCAAACGCGTTACACCCTTCTTAAGAGAATTGATTACAACTTTTTCATTTGGCTTCTCGTGTCCATTTGAGGCATGTCGTCTTCTGCCTGGAAAGCTTCTCATTTAATTTCTAACGGTACCATGAAGCCTACGGGTACGGAAAACCTTTACGCTGACTAATGTTTTGTAATTTACGCGTATTGAACAAATATAACATTAGTAATGTGATAAAAAAAGGAAATCATTAGACGGCACCAATTGGTGTACAATCGAATAACAGACTTCACACGGAATTTAAACACTTTCACTAGCCTAGACCGTTTTAGTTAGCCGTCAGCCATTAAAGTGCACACACGGTTCATTAGTTGTCCAAATGTATTCAATTAAACCGTATTATTGCTGTTTACGCAAATATATCTTATATGATAGAAGTCCTAAAATTCGAAATTCGCAACAAAATGCATATCATGCAAAATGTGCCCATAATATAACCTTCAAATAATTTCATTGATTGATGCACGACTATTGACATAATAAAACACGGTAATGTAGTTTCGTAGTTTCTATGAAAAAAGCTGACCGAAATGTGTTCCTTAAAGACACTGCCGCAAACTTTATCATTTTACCTAACACAGCTGGGACTAAATACGGCAATATTAACTTTTGCAAATGAATAAATGTTTTCCCGGAAGAAATTTGGACAAACCATAAATCACGAGATTAGCGGAGTCATAAAATTTCGTGACCTCTTATTCAAGTGTACGTGGCTGTTGCCTATTAAACTCCTAAACACAGTTTGATGTGGCGTGCATGGGCAGAATGTCTTAGTCGGTCGAACTGGACCGACTAGACTCGACCGACTAAAGACATTCTGCTTATGCACGCCATATCAAACATTGTTTAGAAGTTTACATGGAGTTGCGGATGCAAATACGTCGAGCGCACGCAAAGGCAATTAACAACGCGTTCAGCTGAACATATGCCGAGAAGGCTGCTCATGGCAGAAAATAAAGTTCCTAAGAGTAAGATCGCGAAGCACCTAGTGGACACTGGCCATACGGTCGACCAAAAGGCTGCATTTAAGGTCGTATTTCGGGCCACAACTGGACGTCTCCTATGATTTGCGGAGGTCGCTACAATACGAAGAAGGAAACCAGAACTTTGTAAGTAGCTGGATCATGTGATGATTCTCGCATTGCCGTGGTGATGATCGATAAACTTATTCCTGCTTACACCTCGTTCGCCTTAGGACTGACTGCTGCTCTGTTCCCTGCCCAACCCTCCCCCCCTTTAACTACGTCCCATAGGCTTTCATGAACATGAACTCACATGAACTGCAATGCTGTGACAAATACCTCCCCCTCCTCTACTCTTTCACTATGCGCCTACATCTACGACTAATTGTTTCTACTTTTTTTACCTATAAAGTTTCATCCTTCTAGGCTGACATTGAATTGGACAGTTAATTATCTTATTAATGGGCAACGACCGTCTACAGTTGAATAAGAGGTAATGAAATTTTATGAAGTCAGTAAATCCTGCTAATCTTGTGAACTTTACCTTGTTCAAGTTAATAGACATTGCAGAATATAGACAAGTTATAGAACAATCTGTTATCCTTGGCACGACAAAAGCATACTTACACAAATTGACACTAACCGGTAAAGTTCAGGGCATTGCACACCACATTTTATCCGCAGACCGGACAAATTTCAGTAAGCATCCTCTCTTCAGAACAACTAACCGATGAAGACGAATTGGCGAACATACGTTTGTTTTCGATAAATTATCGTCAGGTTTTTACATTTATACTGTAATTAAGTTAATAA